AGGCGATTGTGAGCAAGCTGTGCACATGCTTGCTCAACAAGCTCTCCTTGCCTCTCCGTGCATCGACGGAGCTCCTCCGCCTCCTGTAGAAAGGTTGAGTCGATAGGGTTGGCGATTGGGAGGTCCATGCTAGAGCACCATTCATTGGTGCGCCAAACAAATCGATCCACCATGAACTCTAATTTGAGCTTTGATGCTTGTGCCATGAAAGCCTCCATGGCCAACTCCAACTTGGATTTCTCCTCGGATTGTGGAGGGAAATTTTCTTGATATGGGGAAGCCTCTTCGTACCCCCATTGGTATGGTTGTTCTTCTTGGAAGGAGGTTGGTAATAGAACCCGGATCCTTGGCTTCCCCCTTCTTGCTCACTCCATGAAGCTCCAGGGTACCCCCATTCGGGTGGTTGTGGATACCCTCACCTATTGTAGAAGCCATTTCGATCCATGATTCTTAACCTACACAAACAAAAACACAAAAACAAAATCAAACAACACAAACCACCCTTCAAGACGAAGAGTGGGTAAACAAAACACCAACCGAAACACCAAACACAAACAAAAAGGCAAGAAAGAAAATGCTAGAGTAACACTAAGTGACCTTTTCAAAATAATGGACCGCGGGTGCCCGACAATGGCGCCAAAAACTTGACTCACACGGAACAACACCACAAATTAATCCCCACTAGAGTCCAAGTTTTTAAACTCTAGTCGGGTGCAATATAGAGCAAGTATTTAAATTGTCAACCCGGGCCGGTCCACGTACCCCTATTTCAATCGCTTAGGTTGTTATCTAGCAAAACGGTTTTGGGTTTTAAAACCAAGAAAACTAAAAACTAAACTAGCAGGGAAAAGTAAATAAAGGAAAAGTCTAACTAAGGGAGCTTCACCCGGGAGTGGCTTCCCCCTAACTAGCTACCATGACTCGTTGGATTGAATGGATTAGTGTGGCATAGGTGGTTGTGAACCGCGGGGGTGAGCAACTAGTGATAGATTTGTCACGGAATCAAATCACCAACGATCGATTTGGCACGGGATCAATCCACTCACCAAGTCTAGGGGAACCACTAGGAGGAGCAACTAGTGATCCATTTGTCACGGGATGGATTCACTAGAGGTCGATTTATTATGGAATCGATCCTCTCACTGAGTCACTAGTGGTTGCCTAGGTCTCTCCCTCAAACCGGAGTTTGAGCGACTTAATTACAACCAACCTAGATGCAAACTTGAGTCAAGGGTCTCTAACCTAGATAGTAGGCACCAACATGCAAAAAACTTAGATTGCTAAGCACAATTATGCACAAACCTTAGGTTTCTAAGCACCCACATGCACAATCCTTAGATTGCTAAGCACAAGCATGCACAACCCGTAGATTGCTAAGCACAAACATGCACAATCACCATGAAAACACCTCTAATACTCAAATTGATGCAAACCCACACTTAATCATTCAATCTAAACAAGTAATTACAAAGTATTAGTTAGGGGTCTACGACACCCTAGAGAAAAGAGTGAGTTTCTCTAGAGAGAGAGAGAGAGGGATTACAAATTTGAGCTCAAGATCTTCTTCTTCTTCTTCTTCTAGGCTTGAATCTCCACCCAAGCCTCCAATGATGCTCCAAGATCACTCTAGCACTCTCTCTCTCTCTCTCACTAGAACTCCCCTTTGGTTTTTTTGGGTTGAAACCCTAGAGAAAGAAAGTGTTCCACTTTCCAAAAACCAGCTCCCCTTTATCTCTCCCCGCTGCTATCTTCATATTTGCCCGAAAGTGATCAGTTCACCGACACGTTGGCCAGTTCATGGTCGTGAACAGCTAAACGCGTCTGTGAACTCAAACGTCTCCAAAGCGCGCCGCTTTGCTTCCTGGGTTCACGGTCTTAGAGACTGTGAACTGCCTTGTCGTCAGTAACTTCAGGAACCTCGCTGGACGCCTCGATGTTCACGGTTTGTGGTCCATGTTCACGGTCTTAGGAGACCGTGAACTGACTTGTCCGGCCGTGAACTGCGACTGTTTCCTAGGACGCCTTCACTTCACTGTTTCTTCGGTTTTTGCACTTTTGGCCTCCAATTATCCCAAAATTCGACCTCGAACCTTCCACTCGTCCTAGGACCTGAAATATATGAAAACAAGCACAACCTAGCATGAAATATGTCGAGGAACGATGAAATACTAAGCTAAACGAATAAGAAATGAGGGGTAAAATGTGTACATTTGGGCCCGAATCACACGCTCCACCATAGATAGAGTACTCAAAATGCGATCCAGGTCGTTCGATCTGCCTTCCCTCGAACAACGTTTGACGCAGATCGACGGCACGAAACTCGATCCATTGGTTTGAGGGACATAAACTCGATCCACTTCCTCCCACATAACCTATAAATTCCCCCCTCCATTCCACCAAAACTCACACCACTCCATTCTTCTTCGTTTCTTCCTCCCACCACTCTTGAAGAAAAAAAATATGCTTTGTGGTTGTGGCTAAGCCTAATCTTCCGCATCAAATTTATTTTCTTTTGTTTGGTACTATCACTCAAAATCGCCGACATGGACCCGAGTATTTACGATCCTAGATTATACATTCAAGGCGGACCGCGAGAAACTGATTTATTGGATGAGCAACCTTACCATCAGTCTGAAAGTGTTTGGGTGGCAGACCCGGTGAGCACTTCCTCATGTGCTTTTCTTTTTTCAAATGCGATAGTATTCTTTTAATTTTTTCGTATAATAATTAAGGTTTTTTTTCTACAAGAACAACTTGATGTAATCACCCATCGGTCCCTATCTCGCTTGCCTGCATGGGATGTTCGGATCGAGCCCTTCATTGAAAAAGCGCGATTGCTGAGGGTCCGAAACTTTGTGGGGATGGAGATGGACAAAAACCTTCTTACGGCAATGGTGGAAAGATGGAGAAAAGAAATGCACACATTTCACCTTCTGGAGGGAGAGATGACGATTAAGTTGAAGGACGTGGCCATGCTGACATAGCTTCCAATCGATGGTGATGCCATAATAGAGAGTTCACAGAAACCATTGAATGGTTGGGGCCAATTTATAAGCGAGCGTTTAGGCATCAACATCTCCGAGGAAGCACCACAAGGTCGTCGTATAACACCTCTACACAAGTCTATGCTATTGATACCTTGGCTAGTGAGGACCGCTGGAGAATTACCGGAGGATGCCACGGATGCTCAGATAGAGAGGTATGCTCGCATCTACCTAATTTGTTTGGTTGGAGGATTTTTGTTTCCGAAAAAGTCTGGTGGAAATATGCATTGTATGTGGCTCCGAGTTCTTTTGGAAATTGGGACGAGATTGGGAGAAAAAGTAGGGGATCTGCTTGTTTGGCGAAGATATATGCGGAGCTGTGCAAGTGTACGGACCCGAAAACAAAGCAAGCGGGTGGTGCCATGTTCATCCTCCAACTATGGATATGGGAGCACCTTCCTACTTTCGCTCTGATCTGCCCTGCCAACAGTTGGGGTCCCGAAGAGCCACTACGACAAGCGGCTTATGGTGCTAGATGGATTGGAGCTATCACAAGACTCGCCTCTCTAGATGGGTACCGCCAACATCTTGACCGTATAGAGTTCAACGAGGTAACATTCTAGCTTATGAAAATGCATTTATTTTTATGAATATGAATGCTATTTTATTTGTTGAAATTATTTGTCTTGGCTCGTCGACTCTGGTCGTGCAAGTTGCATGTGATTTGCCACAACATTGTCGAGTGGCACCTCCCGAGTGTTGTAAAGTTAACAATTTAATTTGTTTAATACGGATATTAAACGCGTTATACAGGTTAAATATATGTATAGTACGGGATCCATCAAATGAATCGGAAAAAATGAAACGGCTTGACAATAATATGAATATGAAAGTTTTAAACGGATAAAATACATACGAATACATATACATGTATTAAAAAGAGTATTTACTACCTATGCTTTGAAGGCAATTCTTGGATTTTGTTGGACCAAGTCTCTTGGATTTTTGGAACAAGTGGAGAGCTGGACGAAATTAAAAGGGAGTTGTGGAAAAAGAACTCGGGGAGCGGAGCAGTCACGTCGAGCGGAGCACTGATTAATTCAGGCGATCATCGGAATCAGGGTTAGTGAAACAGGTTACTTTATTCATAATTCCTTCTTTTATTCTTTGAATTCTAAGATGTTGAACCTAGATTATTTGTTAGTTTATTCTCCTTGATTATGAACTAAACCGTAGTTTCTGGAGAAGACCGTATGATGTAGCTATCAAATTTCTATAATTAAATTTGAATTATTTGTCTTTCTCATTCATATTGTGTGTGGATGCTTAATACTTTGTGTAGACTTGCCACCTACATATTGATTTATTGTTCTAGGTTGAGACCGATAGGAGATACCTAGGATAGAACACTCTTGCATACGTCATAACACCCCAATTGAGCACGAGAGTGGAAAGCGGGAGTAGTGTGATCATTAGAGGAGTTATCGGACTTCACGTAGTTAGTTAATTAATTGTTTGCACGAGAGTAAACAATTAATTGACTAGCTAGTATGTAGTGATGTTTCAGAGAGATACCTATCACCTTAGGGATAACTTTGATCATTTGAATGAGAATTAAAGTGATTAATAAACGAATTGAATCAAGTAATTAAGTGTGAATTCCATATCATCTTTCCCCATAGCCTCTCTCCATTGATTTTTCTCCAAGTTAATTTCTCACTTTATTTTCTAGTTTAGTTATTTCTTTTAATTTGTTTGCTACACAATACTTTTGTTCTTTTCAGATACTTAATTCTGATCGTTAAATCTAGAGTTGTACAATTCCTCGTGGGACGATAATTTACTCATCTTTATTCCTCGATCGATAAAGTGCCTATACACTTTTGTCGCATGAATTCACATTTCCGAATACCTCTTTGTCCCGAACTTTTACTTAGGACTTAACAAACAACAATTTCCTAGCTAACAAGAAAACAGCTCCCACTCCCTAAACTCTCTCCACCATCTAGTTACTCAATTGTTTTTACATATGAAATGTGGGTACACTTTTTGCCTAAATTTTCTATGCACTGTTTCAATTCTTGACGTTTTGTGCGCACCGGGTAAAAGACTTATCAACGGCTTCGCACCCGCTTCCTTCCCCGCCCGAGGTGTCCGTACCTCCCTGCTCCGCGGCAGCTGCCGCACCCTAAAATAAGCAACTGTCCCTTCAAGACCTCACTATGAAATCAACACTAAGAAGGCACTACCCATGCCTTTTCTTCGCTGCCTTTCCCCCGAACTCAGCAATCACAGGGTAGTCTTCCATGCCTACACGCCTTTTCACTGTTTCAGCCTGCTTTTCCAGATTTCCCACTCCCTTCACAGCTGCTCACACACGCCACCTCCCATCAATGGTACCTCCTGCTTTGCTCCCCTCGATTCAGGGAAGATTGAAATCCTCTGGATCGCCCTTTCCACTTCATCTTCACTTCCTGTTTAGTTCTTTTGTTGCTCTCTTCCCGTTTTCAGCCATACCCCTTCAACCAAACCTCTCATCTACTCTTACCTCTCCTGGTTACCACCATGAATCATGTTGCCCTTTCGAAGTTAGAGTGGACGGACAAAGCTCCTGCCCTCAAATTACGGCTCCTCCATACATGGATGGCTGGAAACCCCTCCCGCCCCGAAGGATTCTCCGAGTACTCGACATTATGGACAGACAAATCGGTGAGCTCTCTCCGTTGTTGTTGGTTTCTTCTACCCCACGACTATGCTTGCCCTTTCTTATTCTGATTTTTCCTCTCCTTTTCCTAGGGAGTGCTGGTGCAGGGACTTGCACCCAGGAATCTCTCGGGTCAACTGAAAGAAGTCATTGTTGTTGGGAAGATTTACTTCGTCACACACTTTTCCCAGCGTGAGTCCAGAAAGCGTTGGGCGCCCTGCTCCAATCCCCGTCTCCTCTATTTTACTTCCATCACTTCTTTCATCCCCTCCGATGAAGATGACTCGAGCTTTTGTCCGGATAGCTTTGAGTTCCGCCAGTTCGAGGACCTCCACGGCATCGCTTCTCGGGACGAATGCTTAGTTGGTTTGTGTTCTGCCCTTTCCATTACGCTTATACTAATTTCAAACATACGTTCTAAAGTGATTTCTCTTCATAGATGTTGTTGGCCGGCTGGTCTCTGCAACGCCTGTCACCTATTTCCAGAAACAGGATCGGTCGATCAAAAGGCAGACTATTGTCCTTCAAAATGAGCGGTGCGTTGTTCTCTTATTTGTTCATCTATTTTGGGAGAGAATGAATGGTAGATTTTGTTTCTTATTTGTCTGTGCCGGTGTCTATCTTGGGATAGCTATCTCATGTGCCATGTACTGCTCGCAGCGAAACCTCCCTCTCAGTGACTTTGTGGGCGGAGTTCACTGACAGGTTGCCCGTTGCGGAACTCATTTAGATGGATGGAACTGCACCTATTATTGTGGCATTTACTAGCTTGAATCTCTCTATTTGGCGTGGTACGTATGTGGATGTTCTTCGGTTATATTGGCTTTGTGTCGAGTATGTGGCTGTTGCTTTTGGTTCTCTTCTAGGATTCAAGTTAGTTTCCCATAAAAAAAGTAGTCAGATGTCTTGCCATGCTGATCTAGGGTGCCCTCATTTACAAACTCGACCCTCAGAAAATGGATAAGACTTTTCACCTGCCAGCACCCAGCTTATGGTAGTCATTTGTATTATTCCAGGAATTGGTTTGGTTCACCATTTTGCTGTTGGAATGCAGCAACCTTTGGTTAGTGTTGTGCCACAACTGCCTGCTTACCAGATTTTGCTGTTTTTTATTTACCTGCACCGTGTTTTTGCCCTACATTTGTGAATGGTGGTTTGGGAAGGGTAATTATGGTCGCTGGTAAGTGTAGCCGGGACTAAACTAGAAAATTGCAAGTCTTTTCTTTGGAAAGAGCTTAGTTAGCAGTCAAGCCTAATTAGAATCAAACCAATTCTGTACCGTACAGTTGCCCACTGAACCATACTATGCTACTTAGCTTCTTCTATGTTACCTGTACTTCCTTGATCTAGATTTAAATCCACCATGTAGACATTGTCCAGTTCATGAAGGCGTAAAGTTGCCCTCGAATGCGCATAACTAAGGGTTTTGCCTTATTTTGTGATTGCAGGGAATGTTGGTGCATCCAATACATCCGCAACTCGCATTGTCATCTTGCCACCAGTTCCACAAGCTCAGTCGCTCGCCTTACAGTATGTACAACCCCGTGTATAGTTGTTTGTGCTCCTGTCACCTCATTTACAGAAATTATGTTCCTCTCTTCTTTTATGCAGTTTTGGTGATGTTGTTGGGACTATTGGTGTCGTTCCAACTGAATATGACACTCCTGAGAAGGCTGTTATAGTATACCGTGAATCCTTCAAAACGATTCCCGAGCTTCAAATTGTTCAGTCAACTTCTACCATGGTTAGTACTTTCTACTCACTGGTTATTTGTCGCTCCACCTCAAACCATGTCTTGCTAAGTCGTCGCTTTCCTACCTTTTGATGTGTAGGGGGGAAAGTTCCGCTGCAAGGGCAAGATAATCGACATAGATATGTCGCGCGATTGGTGCTACCTCGGGTGTGCTGTGTGCTGTAAAGCTGCTGTGAGGCGTGATGCCCCATTTTGGTGTGAAAAGTGCGATGCTACAGTTCATCCACATCAGCTCAAACAATGGTTGCCTAATGTCGTTTACCAACTACTTTTTAACTCTTTCCCGCCACTTATGTATGTCTAAATATCTCTAATGCCTTCTTCTATTCTTTATGACAAGCTTTCGTGTCCGGCTCATGCTCCACGACGGTTCTGCATTCGCACCATTCGTGGTCCTCGGCCAAACTGCAGAAACCCTGTTGGGGGTATCAGCCAGTGCATTGTTTGCTGCTGCCCCAGATCGCGGAGGCGGGTATCCTCCAGAGATAGAATGCTTGATTGGCAAAGACTATACCTTCCTGGTTAACCTTCCTGTGGGCCAGGTTTCGGACCCAATGGAAGACTTTGTTGTATTCGGTGTTGAGAAGGATGAACAACCCATCTCCGCAGGTAAGAAACAGTATGGGCCGTGCTTCCAGAAAAGAATTGCAAGCACCATTGCCACTGTTGCAGAGATTATGCCTGCTAGGTATGTTGTCTATGACTTTACCTTTTTCACATTCACAGTGTCGTCAACTAATTCTACCCAATTGTTTCTATGCGCCTTAAAAAAACATAGCCAGCAAACATCTTTGGCCAGCTCTTCTATGACAGTTTGCGGATCACCCACCAAACGTCTCCGAGACACTAATTCAAGGTATGTCTACCGCTTTCCAACATTTTGGTCCTCCTTTCTACTTAGTCAAGTTTCATGACACACCATAGTCCTGAATCGGCCCACACAATTGCCTCTTCTATTGCAGCATCTCCATGATTGCCGAGCCTGTTACTGAGGAGACCAAGGAGTTCAGGGCCCCGCGTCCAATGCAGACCTTAGACATGAGGTTGGTTCACCTACTCTTGATTACTTTGTTGGGGTGCTTACCATTTAGAACTGCGGTTGGTGCTGATGCATTCCAGAGGTTGCAACTAAGACATTATACCCACCTATGCAATGCACTTATTCCTTGCACCTAAGACATTAGCACCTCCATTGATTTCTGCATTTGCAGCTTTATCGTGTTGTCTCTTGCATGGGCTGTATTGGTGTCTATATGTAGTTTGTTTTTTGCCCACTAACAGACCTGCACCTCAATTGAAGTATAGACGATAGTCATGTATGTACCATGCATCAGATTCCTTTTATGTAACTGAAGCATATTATTAGTTCCTCTATAGTCACCTATCTATTTGACTTCCATATCACTAAAATGATGTTTGTTGTGTCATTATTATTATAGCAAATTTGTTGGCCCTTCGGTAGCCGCGGCTTTCAATTCGGTCCTCTCAGCTGCAAATACGCCAGCAACACCTATTAAGCCTCCAGAGAGTTCTACCACTGGCAGGGTACTTTCCAACCTCCAGTCACCCGTCTCAGCTGGGTATGTATTATTGTCCTACAACATACAGGTGTGCATTATGTTACGTAGCTCTCATAGCTTTAAAGAACACGCCTTTGTCATGGCGATATAGTTTGCCGGTTCTATGTTGTGCTTCACTTAATACGTGACAATTCATTTCCAATACAAAGTTAGCAATGCTTGCAGACCTCATTCGAATACTATGATTCTGACCTGGAACACGTTTCTTTCTCGCCTGCATTTTCATGAATCAAATGCTAATTCAATCGTCACCATGCATTTGTTTTTGAGATTCCGAAAGCTGTGATTTTCTGCAGTCTAAGTTCTCCACTGGAAGGTATCACCATTGCCACCCCATCATCCAGTAACAAGAAGAAAGAGAAAATAGGTGACGTTGACCAACTGGAATCGCACCAACTGCTGTCACGGTGTGTTTGTTGCCTTCCTTACCTCCAATCTTTCCTACAACTTCATTTCTTATTGTCAGATTTGTGGTCTCATCAGGCTTATTGTTTTCACTCAAACCTAGCACCAATGATGCTCCTGGTTCTATTGGAATGGGAAAGGGCAATGTCCATAAGAAACCATTGTCATCTGCAGCTCTGGCAAAAATCATCCCACCTTCTATGTTGCCCATTAACCCGTTAGCCTCTTTCTTGCCTGTTGACTACACTGACCTTACTTTTAGTTACATGTTTAATTTGATTGCTTATTACATCCATTATCTCCTTTCTTACTTCAGCCTCGATCAACCTCTTGCAAAGGTGAAGCTCGAGAAGTTAGAGTCCTCACAGAAGAAAAGGAAGAAGAACTCCAAGGATTCTGACGAGCTGTCCATCTCTCACCTGAAGGCAAGGGTATCTAAGAGTAAAGTTGTGGTCAAGAAACTATTCTAGGCATAGAACTATCCTACCTTTTGTGTCCGTGTTTTGTGCCCTCCATCCTGTCTGGCTGTTTAGTGGTCTGATTGCACCGATCCTTCACTATCCCGGGTCGTCCAGTGGCATAATTATCAACCATGTTTGTCGTTTCATGTTGCTAAAACAATCTTTTGTTCAAGGATGACTGCTTCTCTCTCATTGTAGTTGTAATGAACCCTCATGCCTGTGCAGTGTGACTATTATCAATCTAATTATTCAGTTCAACCTTATTAGCCAACAAGTCTGTTACTGTTCTTTTCTCAGTTCTCATACCCGCCACCTTTCTTGGAGAAACTAAGACATGACTTATGTCTACAAATGACCTTCAGTTAAAAATTGCAGTTCATGCATTAACAGTCAACCTATTGACCATATACAACAAAGATTTATTATTTTATAATTCCAACCTCCATGGTGGTGGTTGGTTGTGTACTTTGAATGGCAGAAGGGTTTACATACTCTGACTGAAAAGAGACAGCTGATTGGATCCAATTAGGTGATGGGCACCATTCCCTTAAGCTGCCATCACACATGGGATCCTTGGCCATTACTCATTCCCTTTCGTCCTTTCTCAATCCTCAGTTAGCCTCCATAGTGGTCAACATAGCTGCTATGCTCTAACTCTGTTCTTCCTTTTCCTGCAGATTTCACATTCTGCTCTCCAATACCAATTCCCTTATCATGTGTAAACTCTTTTGTGCTCAATAAGTATAGGCTACTGGACATCGAATCTTTCCTCTGATCAGCTGCTAACCTTTCTCTATTGCAGGTATAAGCTCTCAGATCAACACTTCCTTGCCTTCTTGAGAAACTCTTTTCAGCTCAACAAGTATAGACTACTGGACATCGAATCTTTCCTGTTATCAGCTGCTAACCTTTCTCTACTACAGGTATAAGCTCTCATATCAACACTTCCTTGCCTTCTTGAGAAACTCTTTTGTGCTCAGCAAGTATAGACTACTGGACATCGAATCTTTCCACTTATCAGTTGCTGACCTTTCTCAGTCACACGTATAAGCTCTCAGATCAACACTTTCTTGCCTTCTTGAGAAAAATCATTGCATTTTCTAATGTTCAGTTTCTCATGCTCTCTCTTTCCTCTCCTTTGTTTGTCCAATGGTTTCTGATTCTTTGTTTACTGCTTCTTCCCCACGTCATTCTGCCTTTCCAAAGTTTCCATTCCTATTTTGCATGCTTTGTTACCACCACATTTGGGTTGTATTTCTCACACCACTTGCAACTTCCTGCCCTCTACTTCATTCTTAATGTCAACAACCATGATTTGCAGCTGCGGTTTTTGTCTATTTCAGTTTCAGCAAAACACATATATTGTTTCCTCTGTTTGCAATACTTATTACTGTTTGCATGATTCCTACACTGATTTTATATACCCACATCAAAGGATCAATGAGTTCCAAACCTTTAACGATATGTTATGTGTCTTGATCAACCAGTTAATCCAGCCACCTATATTTCTGGGACATGAATAATCACCCTATGCCTAAAGCAGTGCAAGGGAGGTATGCTCCATCAGAATTTTCTTCTCCCACTAAAAACAACCCCGATCTACTTAGTCCGATCGTAGGCACTTCAACACCAGTCAGTGCTGATAGAAGAGGAAGAAAGCCTCGCTTCACTCCATGTCACTTTAGGTCTGTGGTTGGGGAGCCATCACATGGAAATCAATTGCCGAGTCTCCTCTCATGCCCTACTATACAAACTGTCGAGTCGGCTCCTCCAACCAACAAGACAAAACCAGACCCTTTGGCAGGCAATGCAGTTGCACGAAAGCGAAGAAAGACACAGTTCAGTTCAGTTCAGTCAAACATCGTGCTCGAAGACCAGTTACGCGAACATGACCAGCCATGTTCCACCTCACCCGCTGCTACAAAACCACAGCCATGCCCTTCTACTCATGTCACTCATACCTCCTCCACAACCAGAAAGCCTTCAGCTGGTGATAAGGATAGTTCCAGAATTCTACACGACACACACTTCTGGAATGATAACATTTTGGATTTTGGTACTCCAGAATGTGTTTGCCCATATTGTGGAGCTATGTTCTGGTATGCTGAACGCCTTGACCGACACCGCAATACCACAATGCCAATATTTGCTCTGTGTTGCAGTCATGGTAAAGTTTCTCTCCCTTTATTAAGGCAGACCCCATCATATCTTAATAGCCTTTTGGATGTTAATGGAGGGTCAGAATCAAAGCACTTTCGAAAAGAAGTTTGATCCTATAATGGTATGTTTTCCATGAGCTCCATTGGTGCTAAATTGGATCGGCGGGTGACTAACTCTTCAGGCCCATACTCCTTTGTTATTTGTGGAGCAAATTATCATCACATGGGTTCTTTGTTACCCCCGGAAGGGAGGAAAGCCAAGTTCTCCCAGCTGTATGTGTTTGACACAGATGATGAAATTGGTGATCGACTTTCTAATTTTTCATCAACCAGTCTTGCTTTGAGGCCTCAAATATTTGATGGTTTGATTAGAATGTTTGATCAAACAAATGAATTGGTTAAAAGTTTTCGTAGAGTGGCTAGGGAGGTCCAAGATCCAGCCAATCATAACCTTCGTCTTAGAATAACAGGTAATCGGGAAAGCAACAATCGACAGTATGATCTACCTACTGGGTCTGATGTGGCAGGTCTTATACCTGGTGACTTCAATGCTGAAGATGATGATAGAGACATCATTATTAACCACCGGGAAGAAGGGTTGCAGCGAATTTATAGCCTCAATCCGAAATTTCATGCTTTGCAGTTCCCTATTCTTTTCCCATATGGGGAAGATGGTTTCCATTTGGGAATAAAGTATGATCCTATTCACACCTCAACTCATGCCAAGAGGAAACATGTCACTGAGAGAGAGTTCCATGCATTTTGATTGCAGCACCGCGAGGCCGAAGGACAGAGTTTAATGCGCGGAGGAAAAGCACTGCAGCACTATTGTGTGGATGCATTTTCGACCATTGAGCAAAATCGTCTTAAGTTCCTACGTCGGAACCAGAAACTGCTACGGGCTGAATTATACAAGGGCATTTGTGATGCTTACAGTAAGGGTGATACAACAGGGAAGGACATTGGTACAATTCTTCCAGCAACATACACTGGTGGCCCTCGCTACATGAAGCACCAGTATCTTGATGCCATGGCGATTTGTCGGCGCATAGGAAATCCAGATCTATTCATAACATTCACCTGCAATGCACAGTGGCCAGAAATCACCAAAGCGTTTGAAAATGTTGTTGGCTTGAAACCAGAAGATAAACCAGATATAGTTGTCCGTGTCTTCAAGATGAAAGTGGTTGCTTTGAAGGAGCAGATTCACCGGCATCAATTTTTCGGAAAATCAGTTGCAGGTCAGTACTGCAATCTTATATCAGCTTATCTTTGAAACTGGACATGCTTAAATTCCACCCAAATCATTGTAGAGAAGTTCAATTTTAGTCGCTTCCATTTGCTGTGCACTCGGTCCTTCAATAAACGTCGCCATGGAACAGTCATATGGTTTGACAAGTGCACCCTCACAACCTGCATTTCATTAGTTGTTGCCCATAATGGAAATCATGGAAGCATTTACTTGGTTTCTGGTTTCCTTCCTGCCTCATCCTATTTCATAGCTGGTTTATAATTTAGTTCTTTAAAAAGACCTATGAATGCAGATCAATGTCTTCCTTATTTTTTGGTTTACCTAGAAAATGATTAGCACCTCTCTTTCCTCTTTCCTCTGTCCATCAAATATCATAGGTGCCTAACTGGTGTTATTCTGAAACAGATATACACACTATTGAATTCCAGAAGCGAGGTCTGCCACATGTGCATCTATTAGTATGGCTTCACGAGAATGACAAATTAAAAACTACTGATGCCATTGACGCAACCATATCTGCTGAACTACCAGATCCAGAAAAAGATCCTCTCGGGTATGCAACTGTTGCAAAATTCATGCTCCATGGACCCTGTGGTCAGTCCAATAACAAATCTCCATGTATGCGAGAAGGAAAGTGCAAAAAGTTCTTCCCAAAGGCCTTCAATTCGACAACTACCTACGATCATAATGGGTACATTGTATATCGCCGTCGGAATGATGGTCGCTCTTTTGACAAAGGTAATCGCATCCTTGACAACCGCCATGTAGTCCCTTACAACCGCAACCTGTTGGTCATGTTCCAGGCACACATAAATGTCGAAATCTGTCATAAGGGAAGACTTATCAAGTATTTGTTCAAATATGTGACGAAAGGCCCTGATCGAGCTACAGTGGTTGCTGAAAACTGCCCAACCCAGCAGCCAGCCACCTCAGATGCTCCTCCACGAGCCGTGCGAGATGAGATCAAGCAGTACCTTGACTGTCGTGTTCTCTCTTCATTTGAAGCAATGTGGCGCCTGTACGAGTTTCCGATACATGAACGGTCACCATCAGTTGTCTGCCTGCCTGTCCACTTGAAGGACCAGCAATCTGTTGCGTATAACCCTGATACATCATTACAATCAGTTGTTGAGGACCCAGACAAGGCAAAGACCATGTTGACTGAGTATTTTACTCTTAATCGCATGGACCCACATGCTAGATCACTTACATACGCCGATATACCTACTGCTTATGCTTTTCATCTCCGACCAAAGCACTGGGCTAGGCGAAAGCAAGGTTATGTTATCGGTCGTATCGTCTTCATCGCGCCGGGAACAACTGACGTGTACTTCCTGCGCATGTTGCTTACAAAGGTAAGTGGTGCTACTAGCTTTGAAGACCTTATGACAGTTGATGGTGAACTCTGTAAAGACTACCAAGATGCATGTCTTAAAAGAGGGTTCCTAATTGATGATGGTGAGCCTCAAGCAACTATGGTAGAGGTCGGTCAATGGGGAATGCCGGCTTTGCTCAGATCTCTATTTGTCATGATATTAGTGCATTCTGAAGTTGCTGATCCAAGAAAGTTGTTTGAAGCTAATTGGAAACTTTTTGCAGATGATTTCTCCTATCAAACCCGTCGTGGTTTGGAGCTGCAGCACTTTCAACCACCGATTGAATATTTGCGTAATAAAGTCATCAAGCATATCGAGACTCTCTTGCATAGTCACTCTAAGACTCTCGCTGATTTTAGTTTGCCGGAACCCACTGATTATGCTCATAATCTGGTTGGAAATAGGCTTATTTGTGAACAACTCAATTATGATGTTTGCATGCAGCAGCAAACAGCAGCAGAGATTTATTCAACATTGAACCATAGTCAAGCTGAGGCCTACCACAAAATCATGGCTTCTGTCGAACAAGGGGCAGGCAGATTTTTCTTTCTCTATGGGCATGGTGGTACAGGAAAGACCTATTTGTACAATACAATTATTGCCAAACTCCGGAGTCAACAGAAAATTGTTCTGGTTGTAGCATCATCAGGCATTGCGGCTACTCTACTTCCGGATGGATCGACTGGACATTCTAGATTCAAAATTCCAATTGATATCGATGGTTCTTCCACCTGCAAGATTAAGAAGGGAACTCATTTAGCAGAATTATTGCAGCAAACCTCACTCATTGTGTGGGATGAAGCTCCGATGACTCATCGCTTTTGCTTTGAAGCTCTAAACAAAACCTTATGTGACATCATGGATGTGCCTTACAATGGACATGCTTACAAGCCTTTTGGTGGCAAAACAGTTCTTCTTGGTGGGGATTTCCGACAAATTCTGCCAGTAATTCCCGGTGGTGGCCGCGAGGAAACTCTTAATGCATCGATCATCCGTTCTCCATTATGGGCGCACTGCCACCTCCTGTGCTTGCATCAAAACATGCGCATTAATCATGATGCTGTGAATGAAAGCACAATCTTCAGCGGTATGACATTCCTACAATGGGTTCTTGCAGTTGGGAATGGGGTTGCACCTGTTATCTCCTTGGATGAAAATTCTGAACAAACTTGGATGAAGATTCCTAAGTACTTAGTCCTACCACATGAGGGTGACTCAATTCAGCCAATTGTTGACTTTGTCTTCCAAGGACTGCTGGAGTCTTACAGGTCAGTTTCCTTCCTAAAAAACCGTGCTATTGTCACCCCGACAAATGAAACAGTATCTAGGATAAATGCTTCTATTCTTTCGTGCATTCCTGAGGAGACCAAACACTACTACAGCACAGATAGTTTGTGTACTGAATCAACAGATAATTCAGACCTGGATACCCTGTACCCTATTGAATTTCTAAACTCTCTCTCCTTTAATGGGATGCCTGAACATGAACTTACTCTAAAGCTGTATACACCCATTATGTTGCTTCGAAATATTGATCCCTCGGCTGGTATGTGTAATGGAACACGATTGATGATAACACATCTTGGAGAAAATGTGATCAAAGGAATCATACTTACTGGTACTTACGAGGGTACAGTGGTAGCTATACCGAGAATCGCTCTGAACTTTAGTGATCACAAATGGCCATTCACAATGAAGCGAAGGCAGTTTCCAGTCCGACTTTGCTATGCCATGACAATCAACAAAAGTCAAGGCCAAACACTAGAAAGAGCAGGAGTCTTCTTACCTAAGCCTGTGTTCAGTCATGGTCAACTGTATGTAGCTGTTTCTCGAGTTCGCTCAGCAGCAGGTCTTAGATTACTCATACACAATGATGATAACCTGCCCTCTGATTGCACAAAAAACATAGTCTACACGGAGCTGTATTCTGAATTATCCTTCCCTGGTAACTTTGCATAATCACTTCCTTGCATTGTTAACATAGGACCTGAACTTAACTTTTGGACTGGCTTCTAATAACATTTTCTTTGTAGCAGAGGCTGCTGTCCCTGGCCAAGCCAATTAGCATCTTAAGAACAAGCCAGGTTCAGCTCTACCAATGCATGATTGTTGCTTGCTTCCAGCTATTTACTACATTTATGTGTTGAATAATTAGATAGGATATCTCATCTAACTTCAATCAATTGATGTTTCTTCATACAATCTTTCTCTTGCAGATGTATGTGATGCTCGGTCGATGAAAAAGCTCCTCCCATGATCCATCATGCTCGATTAGCAACAATGTGTCTGCTCCTCTCATTCACCATGTTTTCTACGTTAACGATGATAGACTATTTTGTACAGTCCACTAGCAGTATGTGCGCGGATATGGTATTTCCCAACTACATTGAGCAAACCAGATTAGGTAGCTTACCGACACCTATGCGATGTTAGTTGTCAGTTCGCTACTTTTTTTGCAACTCCGGTTATCTGTACATGATAGCACTTTCCTTACTAACCATCATGATATGCACTGATGCATCAGAAATTCAAAATGATGTTTGGTTAGGAGTTGAGTTTTGTCTCTATTATTTTTCACTTAGCCAAGGTCTTTCTCCTTCAGGTTGCTTCCCTTTGCCTGTGTATTATATTCACACACAATCTTCTTCCCCTTGTGCCGAGTGTTCAAAACTTAGTGCTCAGTTCCATGTGATGGTTTTGCCATTGACCATTGTATCTCATTATTCAATTGGCAAAATAAGCATAATCCATGTTAGTACTGTAGATGAAGGTCTAAACCAGCAAAGTTTAAAGAGTTAGTAAGTTCTGCATTTCTACTTCTTATTTGTTGTCTTATTCTTGATCATGTCGTTTTGTGTTCCATTGAACCCTGCTTCACTTCGCCCTTAGAAGTTGCAGGTTGCCTTCTGTTTCTTCAGCAATTGTTTTTCGATCATATTGCGACAAGTTTACTTCCCGCGGCGTAGCCGCGGGTATTGATTCTAGTTCCTTATAAAAATGAACATTTTCCGGCCACATGTTCTGGAACTGCCATGGTCTCTTAATCTTCCTATCCTGTCTCATCTCAGCACAAGTAAATTATGATCCGATGCAACCCTTTCCATTGCAGTCAGCGTGCAATTCGGGTATAGGTGATCAAACTCATAGGAAATAAGAATCCAATCAGTACAAGATAGAGAGACCCCACTTGAACCATGACTCCACGTTAATTTACTCCCACCAATAGGCAAATCAATAAGTCTTTTACTATCAATGAAGTGATTGAAATCATACATTAAATCAGCGCTCCTTCTCACCCCGATATAATCATCATGGCTCCTCACCAAATTAAAATCTCGAGCGATGCACACCGGTCCAGTCAGCAGCGAACAGAAAGCATGAAGTTCTTCAAGTAAAATCCATTTATCATACTTGTCCAGTGGTCCATACACTATTACCAGATGCCATGATTTTGAAGTAATAATCTCCATAAAGTTCAACACTCATAAAGAAAGATCCCTTTGAGTTGGAAATCTTTGTGAAATAGAGCTTGGCCCATATAATCGCAATACCACTCGAGCTTCTTACTACGTTCTTAGTCACCCAATCAAAATTCGTTCTCCCAAATAGGCTACCAATCAGACCCTCATCGCACTGAGATAATTTTGTTTCCACTAGATCGAAAATCTTCGGATTATGTCTTCCAATTAACCGTTTAACTCTACTCCTTTTATTTGGATCCCCAAGCACCTTGATATTCCAAATATAAATACTTGTATCCATAGATCAATTACCTGTAATACCCCCACCCCTTCCTTTCTTACATCTTCTTGGACCAGTCGGGGAAGGCACCTGAGACCCCAGTCTAAATGACTCCCTTTTTAGCTTTGATCGCGAGCTTCTAATCTTTCTTTTATGTAATCCTTTAGCAGTTTAGGATACCATTGCATCAACCTGCCCATGACCTTCTTCATGCCCCAATTTCAATAGTATTCCAACCGGAATGCACGCATCTGACAACGTTTCTTCATCAAAAGGAAATACATCTACTTCCCAGGTGCGGCTTGAATTTTCCCCCAGAAAATAAGGATAGGGGAACTCTGAGCATCCAACACAAACAAAGTTAGGTGAATCCGACAAAATACTTGGGGTTTGAGGAACAAAACTAAGCAGCTCATCCCCTTCGATAAACTCTGAAGGACCGTGGGTGACGACATGATCAGACAATTCAATGAAATCTCTCGTAGACCCAGCACTTATCCACAACAAGGAGAACCAAAGGACACTGATATCAACCGATTGGCTATAGGCGATTTACTAGGAAATGGAAGGAAATGCTCATAGTTAATATCTCCCAAATGGAAATCGATAAATAAATTGGGAAGGTTCCAAAAGATCCCCAAAGAAGGACCTCCTCTAATCTGATCTCCCAGACTAACGAAATAGGAGAGAAGGTCATAAGATGAATCCAACAGTTGTATACCAGGCTGGCCCAGAACAGTGGGGCCGCAATTTACTTGGACTAACAGGCAAGTTAGTAACCCTATTGCTAGGAAGTTAGATAGAGCGTTGGTCAATCTGGATTGGATTGACAAGTTTCAGAACTGTGTGGTTGAGGTGATTCCAGGCAACTTCTCTGATCATTGTGGGATACAGGTCTGCACAGTAGCTCCAATCAAAACTATGCCCAAACCGTTTAAGTATTTTGAATTCTGGTCAGAACACCCCAAGTTTCTGGACATAGTAGAGGATGCTTGGCAGGTTGAGGTTGCAGGGAATCCATGGCAGGTCCTACAAAAGAAGATGAAAGAGGTAAAACAGGCACTAAAGCGATTCAATAGGGATGTCTATGGGAATCTTCAGGATCAGGTCAAGGCGGCTACAGAGGCATATCAAAGTGCTAATGCTCAAGCCTACTCTGTTCCTTCAGCAACGAGTTTTGAGAAGGTTGTGCAGGCCAAGGGTCAACTTATTCAGATATCAAAAGCATATGAAAGCTTCTGCTGGCAGAAGTCAAGGGTCTCTTGGCTGACAGTGGGTGACAAATGCTCCAACTTCTTCCACCAGGCAGTAAAAATAAGAAATTCTAAAAGAGCAATAAGAAAATTGGTCAAAGAGTCAGGGGAGGAAGTCTATAAAATGGAAGAGATAGTAGAAGAAGTGCTAGGTTTCTACAAAAGGCTCCTGGGGGAAGTCAATGAAGAAATTACACCAAGTGTTGAGGCTATTCAAAGGCTGGTGAGACACAAGCTTCCCCAAGAAGAATGTACTGGTTTAATTAAGCAGGTTACTACTGAGGAGATCAAGGCTGCAGTATTTAGTATGAATGCTCAGAAGGCCCCAGGCCCAGATGGGTTCTCTGCTGGTTTTTTCAAGAGGACATGGGCTATTATTGGAGAAGATGTAGTCAAGGGTATTCAGTGTTTCTTCATTACAGGTATGCTCCCTAGTGGCATCAATTCTGCTGCTGTGTCCTTGTTGCCTAAAGTCACTAATGCTGATACTCTCAGAAACTTTAGACCTATTTCCTGTCTTAATATCCTATACAAGGTCATAGCTAAGATCTTAACAAATAGAATCCGAGAAGTAATGCCTTTAATCATAAGCAGCTCCCAATCTGCTTTTATTAAAGGTAGAAGCATTATGGACAACATTATGTTAGCCCAAGAGTTAGTAAGTGGTTATAACAGAAAACATCTTTCATCTCGTTGTGCAATTAAAGTGGACATAATGAAGGCTTTTGACTCTGTGAATTGGAGATATTTATTCATTATGATGAAAACAATTGGGTTCCCTGAGAAGTTTCTGTTATGGATTAGAACCTGCCTGCAAACTGCACACTACAGCTTTAACATTAATGGTAGTCTTTGTGGGTTTTTTCGAGCTAAGAAGGGAGTTAGGCAGGGTGACCCCTTGTCACCCTACCTGTTCACAATAGCCATGGAGGGTTTATCCACACTCTTGAAGGAGGCTAGTCTATCAGGAACAGTGCCTTTCCATCCTCTGTGTAAGAAAGTCGAATTGAATCACTTATGCTTTGCGGATGATCTCCTCATTTTTACTAAAGGATCTGCTCAGGCAATTGTTCAAGTAAGGGAAGTTCTCAATCAGTTCTATAGGGTGTCAGGCCTCAAGTGCAATCCAGCTAAATGCGAAATATATTTTGGGGGAGAGTCAGTGCAGTATAAAACCAATGCGCTGGAGCTTTCAGGGTTCCAGGAAGGGACCTTACCTGTCAGATACCTGGGACTGCCTCTACTGGCAGGTAAGCTTTCTTCCTCAGAGATTGATAATTTGGTGGATAAAATTACAAAGCGCATTAAATCGTGGCGAGCCAAAAAGCTCACATATGCAGGGAGGCTACAACTCCTGAACTCAGTGCTTATTAGTATAGTCCAGTTTTGGATGCAATTGTTTGTCATTCCTAAACTAGCTTTGAAACGGATTCAGAAAATCTGCTCGCAGTTCTTATGGCATGGTGTTGCTGAAGGCAGGGCGAAAGTGGCTTGGGAATTTATTTCTCTGCCTAAACAGGAAGGGGGTTTAGGAGTGAAGGACTTAGGAGCATGGAACCAGGCATGTTGCATAAGGTTGCTTTGGCTGTTTCTAATGAACTCAGGGACCCTATGGGTAGCATGGATGAAAACGTATAAATGCAGGAATTTGGACTTGTGGTCAGTAAGGGTGCAAGCTAGTAGTTCATGGGCCTGGAGAAAACTGTTAAAGTTAAGGACTGTCATCTATCCCTGGATGAAGAATCAGGGTGGTATCATATACTGGGACTCGAAAGAAATGATGGTCTATTCTACTAGTAGGGTATGGGAAACCCTGAGACACAAAGCTCCCAAAGTTGCCTGGTACAGTTTGGTTTGGGGCAAGAATTGTCCCCCGCGATGTAGTCTGATAGTCTGGTTGATTGTTAAGAAGGCTATTATTACGAGAGATAAGTTGCAGAGATGGGGTAAAATCAGTGATGCATCATGCCAGCTTTGCAGCTCTTCAATTGAAAACAGAGATCACTTGTTTGTTCATTGTTCTTATTGGAAACAGCTTGCGGACGAACTGAAGTGTACAATGCTGCTGCGAAATGACTGGGAACAGATGTTGAGGGCGATGGAACAGGTTGGGACATCGAGAACAAGACTGTGGCATGGTCTGATGTGGTGCTTGATGGTGACTTACACGTGGAAAGAAAGATGCGGTGTGCTCCATGGTTCTCAGCGTCGTGCTCCTGCTCAGGTGGCAGACCTGATACGTGATGACTTGCAATTTATAGTTTATGGCAATAGGAGTTACAGAGACATACTAGTAGAGCTGGGATACTTGTAGAAAGTTTCACTTTTGGTTCTTTTTCTGTTTCCTGGTAGTTGCCTAGTTGTTAGTAGCTTGTTACGGTAGAGATTGTCGCTGTACTCGAGATTCTTCTCGCTTCGTTGTATCGGTTTACTTGAAATAAAAGCAACTGATTCAACGAAAAAAAAAATTAATAATGCTATTGAAATTTGCTATAGAGAGGAGAAAGAAAAAAATTTATTTTAAAATTTTCACATTAAATTGCTATCGAATTTAGGAGGGGTGGTTTTTCTTTTTAAACTATTATTTTAATTATTAATGACATTAAGTTTTTTCTCATAGTACTCCACTTACCCTTTTAGATAGTCCGCCCCCATTCCTTTATCTATTATTCTTATTGGCCTGCCAAGGTTTAAGAAACTCCTTAAGTTTATAGGCTTAAGCACAGAGTCTGACTTGCTTTCCATAGTGATAAAATCATATGATATCACATATATGATAGTGATAATACAACAACCAACATGTGTTTTGAATATTTGATATTTCTTTTCTCAAAATACAACAAAAACATATATCATTATGTATATCGTAATTAATGTATTTTTTCTATGTATTTATTTTTAATTTTGAGTTAAAACGAATGAGATAGTATCCGATTGAGAAAAATAGATAATCAGGAAAAGTGTCTTCTCTCTTCTCTAAATCCATGTCAGTAAAAACAAAAAAGGACATCGGTGTAAGAATTGAGTTAGATCAGTGAGATATATAGTATGAGTTATAATTAGGAAGCCAACGACGGCTAGGAGGAAGGTTCAATGCCCATTATGCTTACATTAGAATGGTCTTGGAAGACCTCTTTCCCTTAGAAGAGCTACCTCGTACCTATAGTTGATCTGTATGGCAGCTATCTCTCGAATTGGGATAAGACCGTCCTCCATCTTTCATGGATTATATATCTTATTTTTTACTTCTTACAAGGGTCTTGGTGAAGAAGTAGGTGCGAAATTACCCGTCTACTCTTCCTATTTTTATTTTTAGTTTGTTGGAAATTATTTTGGACAGTTAAATATAACTAAAATGGGCGGATCTTGATAGAATTTTGTAGAATAAGAGTTTGTACACGATCGAATTTTATGCAAATAAAAAGTCCAAAAGCCCAACCTAAGCGTAGCAACAAGCAAACCATAATGATTAAGAAATAGTTTGGAATTGAAGCAACAAAAGAGAAGAAAAGATAAATAAATAAAAAGAAAGCACTATTTGCATTGACAAGTGAAGAGAGAGAATTGAGAAGCCAAGTCTTTTATTTATTTATTTCTTTCTTTTTTGTTCTGGAAGTCAACAGCTAGGTTATATAGATTACTACTTGTGACCTAAGGAAAGGCATTTTCTACCAATAACCCTCCTCATGATCATATCTCTTTTGTGACAAATTAAAACAAAAATGTGAAAACACACACTAGACAACGATTTGCCTTGGATGGAGAACGGATATGGTTTATAGCTTTTATATTAACAACTATGAACTATGTATAATCTTATAACTATTTTTTTAATTAATTTTAATGAGTTATATGTTTTTATTTTATATCATAAATTTTCATATGAATAAGATTAATTGTATTTTTCAAACAAACATTCACTTTGATACATTTCGGAATAAGAAAATTGAGACATGTATTACATGTCCAACCAGGATGGTAAAATTTGGCAGTACATACCATGTAGTATGAAGTGTGTATCATTGTAGTATGAATAGCACATAGTTGACAATGGTTGTATATCACCTTTCATCACCGTCAACCACCCTATATCAGGGTGGTATTTTGGTCTTGAAAATTTTCCTTAGAAATTTGTAGATTCAATAGATCACGATGAATACGTTTTTTCTCGGCAAATGTTTCAAAAAAAATTAGTGATAACAAAGTTGGTACATGGCGGTATCGAGGTTGTAAGCAGTGGTGTGGGTGGTATGAATTTTTTTTATCGAAATATATTGAAAATGGATATCATTGTGGAGATCACAACAGACTCGTTCCATATATGCAAATTTTGAAACCCAAGTTAAAATTAAAAAAAATATATAAATTAAAAAAAATAGGAAAAATAAAAAATTCTTTAATCTCGGTCCTTAAATCTGATTCAATTTAGAATCAATAACGTAGAGTTTGTTAAGCAAATGTGCATAATCATGTACTGTCAATAATTAAGAGTTATGCACCGTTATCTTAAACCCACATTATAGTAGAGGGATGTACCATGAGAAAGCAAATTAGGGGTTTTACAAAAAAACAAGAACGCAAATACCATTTTTTTTTATGTATGTATCTTCTTTTCAATTTTCATCTTTTTGTCATGTGTGATAGGTTGGTACTTGACAAATTAAATGTGTCTGATTTCAAGAAATTAAATTTGGACTAGCACTTTAGAATAAATACTAATAAAAGAATGTGCATTAAATATTTCTCCATAGAGCAAAAACTCCATTGAATCTAGTAGTTCAATATGACAGTTATGTCAAACATTTACTCTTATAATTATGGTTGGAGCTCAAATTTTGATGTCCTATTTTATCCCTTTTACCATGGTAATCAAAATTTAAACCAACTTGCTTTATTATTATTATTATTATTATTATTATCATTATTATTATTATTATTAAATTCCTAACACAAACCCTTTTCTTAACATATGCAGTTAGATTAAATAAATAAAGCACTCATACTTTTAGAATGGATACCATAACAACACAATACTTTAGGACTTTGCTATGGTGACATGCATGTCACGGTGACATGCACTTTTCGGTCGACCTCATATAGGATCAGGTCGACCTAATCAGTTGTTTCAGTGTAAAAACAGTTTCATGGTGCCTACTTTGGAGATTCATATCTTACAATTGGCTAGATGGAAATTGGAGATTAAAGGCTTGTTTTGAAGCTGAAGTGTCCCTCTACACATTAAAGTACTTGTGAGCTCAATAAAAAGTCCAGAAGACCATTTTTGAACCTGACCAAAAGGCTATGCCAAAACTGAGAAACTGCCTGAAAATGGCTAAGTCTGGCAACGTGTTTGTCAAGCCTACTTTGGAGCTCAATTTGAGAAGCATGGATGTGAGTCAAGTCCAGGGGCCTCTACCACGTTAAATTACGTATTTTTTTATACAAAGGCAAGGCATTGAATGAAAGATTGAATATCTTTAAGGCTTCAAACAAAAGGCTCAAAGTTGCTACGAAGGCTGTTTTTCTGGCAGCTTGCTTGTGCTCGAAATCTGCCAGAAAACAGCCTTCGTAGCAACTTCGACCCTTTTGTTTGAAGCCTTAAAGATATCCAATCTTTCATCCAATTCCTTGAATTTGTATAAAAACATACCTAATTTAACGTGGTAGAGGCTCCTGGACTCGACTCGCATTCATGCTTCTCGAATTGAGCTCAAAAATAGGCTTCACAAACACGTTTCCAGACTTAGCCATTTCTAGGCAGTTTCCCAGTTTTGGCATAGCCTTTTGATGAGGTTCAAAAATGGTCTTCTGGACTTCCTATCGAGCTCTCAATCACTTCAATATGTAGAGGGACACTCCATCTTCAAAACAAGTCATTAGTCTTCAATTTCCATCTAGCCAATTGTATGATATGAATATCCAAAGTAGACACCATGAACTGTTTTTACACTGAAACAACATATTGGGTCGACCGGATCCTATATGAGGTCGACCGAATTCTAAATGAGGTCGACCTAATCCTAAATGAGGTCGACCGGAAAGTGCAAGTTACCGTGACATGCATGTCACCGTAGGCACACCCAATACTTTATACTATTCAAATAACATCTATGGTTAAATAACTTAAAAAGAAGAATGGAGAGTTGGAAGAGAGAAGATGGAAGATGGAACAAACCAAACAACTCCTCATCTTAAGAAAAATGATTCTCAAATTCTTGAGAGAGAGGTTTAGTTGACCTATCTCCGTTCCATCCAAAACCAAAACACAACCTTTGCTTTGCTTGTACTCTTTTTAATTTTTTTTTTCTCTCCAAACTCCCTACATCCAACCTACCCATAATACTAAAGCAAGAAGTGAGATTGCAGGAAAGATGATTTAAATACCAAGGCAAGAAATCATCAAATTTCCTTCAAACTCACACCACCTTCTCACCCTCCTCCCATTTCTTCCAATTCCCTCCAATCCAATGTTTGTTTTCCTTCCCCCAACAAAGAAAACCTCCCTGCTTCTTCTTCCCTCTCCCCCTTCCTACCAGTAGCCTACCAACGGCACTTTCTTCCTCCTTCAGCAATGGCAAAACAACAATCAACAGCAACACAAATCCTCAGAACCTCGATCTACACATTCCTCCAACAATTCCAATTCTTCACGTCCACGCCCGCCTTCCTCGCCTTTCCCTTCTCAGCTTCAGTCCTCCTCTCACAGGCTGCCGCACCAGCCGCAGCCACCGAAACCCTCTTCAACCGCCTCCAATCCCTTTGCCAGGCAGCTGGCTTCCCACCCTCTTCCCAATTCTTCACTATCCTCAACCTCAAGCTTGCCCAGACCATCGCCGCCTCTATTTACACCATTCCATTTTCTCTCACCTTCTTCCTCTTTGCGAAATCCTCTGCTTTCGCCTCATTGAAGAACAGAGCATTTAATCAACCCGATCACAGCAGCCCTCCCGAATCCGTCTCTTCCATCTTCTGGCCGCTGCTCCTAACCCATATCACCAATTCGTTCTTAGTTATCTCCGCAAATGCATCGGCCTTCTGCGTCATGTTCCTCTCGTTCAACGTCTTCGAACGGGTTTTCCCAACTTCCCCTGTTTTCCTCCTATTGCTCTCTGCTGTTGGAGCGTTGGTTTACTCCGTGATTCTCGCCAACGTCATAGTGATCTGCAACCTGGCGGCAGTGATCTCAGCGATGGAAAAAAGGGGTGGGTACCTGGCGGTTCTGAAGGCGGCGGTGATGATGCAAGGGAGGGCTTCGACGGCTCTGTCTCTGGCTTTACCGGTGAATCTGGGCATGGCAGGAATCGAAGCTCTGTTTCAGTACAGGATCGTTATAGGGCGGTACTGGGTTTATGAAACGACGCCGTGGTCAAGGAGCTTGACAGTGGGTTTGGAAGCGATGCTGATATGCTATATGTATTCGATGTTTGTGGTTCTTGACGCCATTGTTGGATGCTTTTTCTTCAAGAGCATCAGGGATGAGATCGTGGAGAAGAAATGTGGCCTTGTTGGAGAGGAATTGGAGATGGGTATTGGATATTACGCGAGTTGGAAGGTAGATGGTGATGATGACGACAAACGTGAGGTTCCGTGATGGGAAGAGTTGGATTCGACATTTTACACGATACAGCAATTTGGGTTTCTGATATTGTTAGTTTCTTTCATTTGGTTGATTCTACTCTACCCTACTTTTTTCTTTTCTTTTCTCATAGAGGAGGAGATGGAAAATTGCCAATTCACCTACCTGTTCAAATCCACAATGCTGAGGAAAAAGACGAATGGGGAAATGTCAAGTGTAATTATTTGAAATGGAAAGATTCGGATTAATTTAATTCCTCAGTTGGTTAGCTTGTTCAACAGTACCAGACCAAAACTTTTTCCTTTTCTTTTGTTTTTAGCCCGGATAGGTTATTTATTTGTTAGAAACAACAAATTAGAGGTTGTTCAACAAATACAACAATGTGAAAAAGGATATGAGGATTTCAAGAATTAAAAGATGTGAATGTTATTGTAAGAATTGTTATATGGGTTTAGGTATCTCATCTGATTGGATGAACCGATCACTGATTTGGGTAAATGATAGAGTTAAGCTTTACTGTTTATAAACTCGATTAATTACTAAACTAACGAATCCAATTTGAGTCAAGTATAACTTGAAATTTGAGTTGATAAGGTAGTGCAACGGTGATTGCGGTCATATTTCAAGGGTCACTAAACTTGCAAAGGTGAAAATTTAGCTAGATCAATTAAGAATTGATCTTACCAGAGATTAGAAAGAAGGTTGGGAAAATAGGAAGAGAAGAGGAAGAAGAAGCTACGGCAGCATCAAGGAGAAAAGAGGGAAGAACTCGGCTAGGGTAGAGAGACAGAGTAGGTTTAGGAATTTTGATTATGTAATTGGCAACCCTTAATAATTCCACTAATTACAAGATATATAATATGATAAATTCCGATTTTCTACCCAGCTAATATGACTTAACAAAATATACTCTAATTATTTCCAAAACCCCCCCCCCCCCCCCCCCAAATAATCCTTACATTTCACAACACATTAATAAACGACAAGTAAGTCCAAATGATGAAAATAACAAATATTTATGTTTCTAACAACTTAGTTACACATTAGGTTCCGTTTTTCCTAACTTATATATTTGTAACACAGATATTAATCCAATTCAAGTAATCAATAAGCTAAACGTTTTCGATACTTACGTCGTTTTCTTGCTTGTAAATTACAAACAAACTCTGAAAACGTAGATTATGGTTCATGGTGGTGGTGCGCGATTGGAGTGAAAAATATGTTTTTGCAGCAGTGAGGCACGAAAAAGAAAGCTGGAAGCCTGGAACTGCACAAGGCAGAGTAGTACTTTTGCAGTCGAAATCATCAAAGAGAGAAGGCTTAGGCCATATGTGATCGATTCTGATAATCTTATTGATAAACAAACTGAAAAGTAAAGGAGTGGACCTTTCTGAACTAGGCACTCTCTGCCAAGGTATCTATGAAGCGGCCCATAATGGTGATTGTATGTATTGGTTCCCATGCCTACGGAAGCAAATGGGATTCTACCAAAAAAAAAAAAAAAAGAAGAGAGAAGCAAATGGGGTGGCTCACACCGGAGCTCATCTTCCTCCTGATTGTTCGCCTTATAATTTTGTCACGTCCTATATATGATGGAAAACCCAATCGCAGGATATACAAACAAGGGTAAATTCAAATGAAGTGTTAAATCAAGGATTGAAAAATTGTATTATATCGGTGGTTCAACTATAATTTTTTTTATCGAAAGTGAAATTGATAGGTGGTATTTATGTTAGCATGGTTCCAAGCCCATTTAATGCCCATTTAATTATGTAGCAGCCGCAGCCCATGTAATTAGCCCTTAACACTTTGTACACCAAAACCAGCCCATGCACAGTACGTAGGCGCTTAGCGTTCGGGTATTACCCTTGCTAGGGTTGTATATATTCTTGATAGAAGCTGTAGGTGAAGGTAACAAACACAGTACGCATAATCATATCAGTAGCTGAAGAGTTTCACCTCTTCCGTGGATTAGTCCTGGACATTCCGGGGATACCACGTAAATCTGGTTGTTCATGTTCTTTCAGTTTTGTTATTTCCGATTGATTATCATGGTATCAGAGCCTCACGCAATGGATTCTGATCGCCCCTCTGTTCGTTTGACCTCTACCAATTTCGCTCTCTGAGAATTTCAATTCAAGGTGTTTATTGAAGGCAAAGGTTTATTAGGTGTTCTCGATGGCACAGCCCCATCTCCGGCCGCTACAGCTCCAGCAAAAGAAATTTCCGACTGGAAGCAGTGTGATGCCCGCGTCCGCCTTTATCTCTTGGGTTCGGTGGACTCCTCGACGTGTTTAAGCCTCCGACTGTTCACCACTGCTCATCAGATGTGGCGCCATCTGACCGCCACTTATTCCACCGTCAATCCGGCTCGGCAGTTTGAGATTCGCCTCTCCTTGGCTCGGCTGGAGCAAGGAGATCACTCCATCACCGAATACTTCAACCTGGCGCAAGAACTCTGGACCGAGCAAGACATCGTGACCGCCGCGCTTCGTCCACAACCAGCTTCGGCCGACGCTATTCTCGAAAGGCAACAAGCTCGCCTGCTTGAGTTTTTAATGAGGCTTCGGCCTGAATTTGAAGCGGTTCGATCCACTTTGCTCAACAGGGATGATCTAAAATTTGATGGCATTATTCCTCTGCTCGTCCGCGAAGAGACCCGACTCCGTACGCAGGCCCAACTCGACGTGCGTCCCCATGCAGGCGAATCTGTCTTTGCTGCTGTTTCTCAGGATTCGCCCGCCTTTGCTGTTCATCGTCCGCAGTTCCAGCATCGTGGTACGTCTCCTAACATTGAGTGCCATTTTTGTCATGAAAAAGGCCATCCCAAGAAGCTGTGCAAACAATGGAATACTTGCATATATTGTAAGCGCTCTGGGCATATAATTTCGGAATGCCGCACTCGGCAACAGAATGAAGCGCGCAATGGTGGTGCAGCTGGTGCTGGGGGAGGCCGAGCCTCTTCCTTTACTGATCGCTCTTCGTCGAGCAACTATGGGTCTCGCCCGGAACAGCCGTGGAGGCAGCCAGCCGATCGCTCGGCCAACTCGGTCGTGCTCATGGATGCAGGTGTCGGCAATGGTGGTGGGGCAATTACTGCTGCCACGGTCGAGCAGATGGTCAATGCTGCCCTCCAGAAATCTTTACCTACAGCCATCAGTTCTGCCTTTGCGACCTTCCACAGCTCAGGTAATACTTCTCCTTGGCTCCTCGATTCGGCATGCTTCAACCATATGACATCTCAATCTGCTAGTTTAGACAATCTTGTTCCCGTAGCTGACATGTCTTTGAGTGTTGCGAATGGTGGAAAATTAAAGGTACAGGGGTTGGGAATGTTGCATGATAAGAATTTATCTTTACCCAATACCCTTCACGTTCCTAGTTTGGTTCCTAATTTAGTATCTGTGGGTCAGCTTACTGAGCAAGGCTGTTATGTGGTGTTTGCCCCGACTGGATGTCTTATACAGGATTTGAAGATGGGGAGGCAGATCGGAAAGGGGAGTAAGAGGGGAAGACTTTTTCATTTGGAGGAGTTACACGGGTGCCATCCTTCGTCGATCGTCAGTAGTCCTTCTAGTAGGCTTGTCAGTAGTCCGTCTAAATCCTTGTCTTTACCTTTGGATTTGTCATCTTCATTTTGTTTTTCGAGTTTGTCCAATAACACTGTTTGGGATCTTTGGCACTCCCGTCTTGGCCATCCTCATTCTAGTCGTCTTGAACAGATGTTTCGCCAGTCTTTACTTGATAAATGTGATGTTCGTTCTTTGTCCAAACATTCATGTACAAGCTGTGTTGAAGCTAAGACCATTAGTTCTTCTTATCCATCTAGTACTACCATCATTTCTGATCCCTTTCATCTCATTCATACTGACCTCTGGGGTCCCTCTCCAGTAGTTTCACGTCGTGGTTTTCGGTATTTTGCTCTATTCATAGATCATGCCACTAGATTCACCTGGGTTTATTTTCTTCGTCTTAAATCTGAACTTAAATCTGTGGCAACCGATTTTTTGAAAATGATTCACACCCAGTTTGGTCGTCCTGTGAAAATTGTTCGTTCCGATCCTGGCGGGGAGTTTAGCTCCTTTCCGTTGTATGACGTGTATCGATCTCTTGGTGTCTTAACTCAGCAGTCTTGTCCTGGGGTTTCACAGCAAAATGGACTAGTCGAGCGTAAAAATCGCCATGTCATGGAACTCACGAGGGCTATGCTATTAGCTTCTCATGTCCCTGATAGGTTCTGGCCTGAAGCAGTTGCTACTGCCGTCCGACTTATTAATTATCAGGTCACGCCAGTTTTGAAAAATACTAGTCCATTTTTTGCTCTTTACTCCCGTCATCCTAGTTACTCTAGACTTCGCGTTTTTGGTTGTTTATGCTTTGTTCTACTTCCAAAACGCGAACGTAACAAGTTGTCTTCCAAAACTGCTCGTTGTGTGTTTCTTGGGTACAATGATATTCACAAAGGTTACTTATGTTATGACCCTTTGTCCCAACGTATACGTATCGCCAGTTCGGTTGTTTTCTTTGAGAATGTCATGTTCTACACTGAACCCTCCATTCCGTCTCAGCTTTTGGCACCTGGCGCTCCTCCTCCTATTTTTGGTGATGATTCTGATCAGGTCTTCCCTCCCATTGATCCTCCTGATCCCCCTTTGTCCGATCTGTCCTCCTCCCAGCAGCACTCCTCCTCGGAGGACTCCACTTCCGGCTCCAATGCATCTCCCTCCCCGTCCGCGCCTGCTGCTGCTTTATCATCCAGCTCGTCATCCTCGCCAGAGACCTCCTCAAGTTCATCGGCCCCTTCATCCAGTCCGGCTTCTAGTTCAGCGACCAGCTCCGCCACTCCTCTCTCGCTGGCCTCGTCGAGCTCGGCCCATGTTCCTGCTCCACGTCGTTCCACCCGGACGACGAAAGGTATTCCACCTCTCCGATTTGATGATTATCATGCTTATGGGGTTGATTCTTTTGTAGTCCCTACTCGCTACCGTCAGGCTCAGGGTGATCCTGTGTGGGAC